TTGATATTTGACTAATTTTAACACCAGCGAATATTTTTTAATTGCTATAACACTATCAATATAATTTACAAGATTAATTACTTTATGACCTTATATTTAACCAATAAACTTCGAAAAGGCAAATCAAATGATTTTGTCCATCATTTGGTTGACAGGCATTTCCAAATTGCATAAAAATAGTGCTGGCCAATTGGAATATTGTCATGCATTAATCCAATAATGCCTAGATTTGAGTTTTTTCCCAAATATACATACATAGTCGTTTAAAAATTTTCTGTGATTTTATTTACAAATTTGTAAACGTTAAAATTAGAATTTTTAGATTTTGTTTTAAAAGAAACTATTTTTAGTTTTCGCTATCAATCTAAAATAACTGAAAAATATCTGAGAAAAAAAAATGTTAAAAATTTTCCTGAATTTTGCTTAAAATTGTTTAATAAACTTAAAATAAGTTTTTATAAATACAACCGCTAGTGTATATTTTATATAAATATTAGCTTTACCCAGTGTGCTTTGCTACCCTAAAAGCAGTATAAATAAAAAACCCACTTAACGATTTTGAAGATTCTAACTGCAATAGTTCTCTAGATTTACAATATGTTACATATTAGAGATGCCTATCTATCTACGAAAAATTTTAATAATATAATAGTTTCCAAGATATACGAAATTTTGTATTTAATTTATTTATGTATGTGGTGCCAAGCCCCCAATTGAAAGCTCGCCCGTTATTCTCTAAATGTTCACATGAATGTCAGAGTTTTTTATGTAAAATTTTAAGATTCTAGCTCTAATAGTTTCTCAGATATACAATTTTTCTATTTCATTCATGTGGGGGCTTCAAGCTCCCCAGATGAAAGTCCGATCTTTTTCCTCCAAAATATTTAGATGATTATTGATTTAGTTTCCCAGATAAACGAAATTTTGTATTTAAGTCATATGGGAGTTGTCAAGTTTCCCATTGAAAGTCCGCCCGTTATACACTAATTGTTCAGATGAATGTCAAAGTTTTTCAAGTAAAATTTGAAGATTCTAGCTCTAATAGTTTCTAAGATATACGATTTTTTCTAATTAATTCATATGGGGGCTCCACGCCCCCCATATGAAAGTCCGCTCGTTTTCCCCCAAAATGTTCAGTTGAATATTAAAGTAATTTATGCAAAATTTGAAGAATCTAGTTCTATTAGTTTCCCAGATAAATGAATTTTTGTATTTAATTAATATGGGAAGTGCCAAGTCCCCATTTAAAGTCCGCCAATTATTCCCTAAATGTTCACATTAATGTCAAAGTACTTCATGTAATATTTAAAGATTCTACATCTAATAGTTTCTCAGATATAAGAATTTTTCTATTTAATTCATGTGGGGGTTTCAAGCCCCCAAGATAAAAGCCAGCCCTTTTTTCTCCAAAATGTTTAGATGAATATTAAAGTAATTTGTGCAAAATTTGAAGAATCTAGTTCTATTAGTTTCCCAGATAAACGAAATTTTGTATTTAATTAATATGGGAGGTACCAAGTCCCCCATTGAAAGTCCGCCCGTTATACTCTAATTGTTCAGATGAATGTCAAAGTTCTTCAAGTAAAATTTGAAGATTCTAGCTCTAATAGTTTCTCAGATATACGAATTTTTCTATTTAATTCATATGGTGGCTCCAAGCCCTCCCAGATGGAAGTCCGATCCTTTTCATCCATAATGTTCAGACGAATATTTAAGTTCTAAGTGCAAAAGTTGAAGAATTTAGTTCTATTAGTTTCCCAGGTAAATGAATTTTTACATTTAATTAATATGGGAGGTGCCGCTCCCCTCATGGGTAGTCCGCCAATTTATTTCCCAAAATGTTAACATGGATGTTAAAGTTATTTGTGCAAAATTTTAAGATTCTAACTGTAATTGTTTCTAAGATAAACGAATTTTTGTTTTTAATTTATATGGGAGGTGCCACGCCCCCTAATGCTATTCCGCCTACTTTTTGTCCTAAATAATCATATTGACACTAAAGTGGCTTCGACAAAATTTGAGGACTCTAACTGTTATATTATCTCAAATATACGGATTTAATATTTTCTAACATGGGCGTGGCACCCACTTGAAATTTCAAAATAAAAAGTAGCCTATTACCAGACATACAGGAATACGCTGTGAAAATTTCAAGAAAATCGGTTCAGCAGTTTTGTAGTCAATAACGTTCAAACATACAAACAAACACACATTCATTTTTATATATATTGATTAAAACTAACTTAATAAATCGTATGTACAAATAAATTAAGTATTTTTGATCACATACCATTAAATTTATAAATTTTTTTAAATAATGAGAAATTGTTTTTGCTATTAACATACATACAAAAACCCCTACATACAATGTCTGTTCTGTAAATCGATTTCAAAACCAAGAAGCTTTTAAACCCGAATTTGGTGTTTTATTTGAACGTAAAATTCAAAAAAAAATAATCATATTTTAAATGAAAAAGAGTTTAAAATGCCCATAGCTTTTAATCGCTAATCTTTCACCTAAAGATTGGCTCTTAGACGGAGAAAGATAATTGAACAATTTTATTTCTATATTAGTTGTGTTTTGTTGCTAACGTTCAAAAGCAATTTCATATAAATTTTAAGTTTATAAACGTTAGGAGTTAACGTGTAAAATTATACAAGTTAATTTTAACGTCAATAAAAGTGCTATCAATTCAAAAATAAAAATACAAATATTAATGTTTTCATATCAAACAATAAAAAAGCTTTGTTCCTTTACTTGTCAAGTTTGCAGTTTTTTACCAGAAATTGTAAAAGAGAACAAATTTGAGCAATTAAAATTATTTTCTCTTTGCCAGAACTTGCAGGTTTTAGCCAGAACATTTTTTCCTGGCAAATAGAAAAAAAATTGTCAAATAAATTATTTGTTTAAAAAAATACATTATTTTCATTAATAAGTATGTGTGATTGTAGTTTTTCAATTTTATTTTAATTCCAATAGAAATTTATATGAATAAACTTCAATATAAATTTATTGAAAGAGAAATTTTGTTTTTTCTGTTCCCGTACTTTTTATAAGTACGAAGAGAAAATTCATTAATTCTCTTTAGCCAGAAAAGTTCTGGAACAAAGCTTATATAATTTAAAATAAAGAAAATTCTAAATAATTTCAAGATTTAGCTGATTTTGTGGGGTAATGCCAAGTCAGGTAATGTTCATTTTGTTGCTAAATTTAAGCGTTAACACTCATTAATAGCAACAAAACACAACTATTATATAAAAATCGATTCGCATTAAATAAATTGTTTTGTTTCCTTAGTAGGGAATTTATTTGCAAAAAAGATTGGTCAGAAATGAAAATTTGAAAATTCAATCTTTAATATTTTTGTCTATAGAAGAATAAAATAATTCATCAAAATCGGTCCATGTTTGTAAATGTTACAGGGTCCAAAAGAGATTTCGCATTGATTTTAAACAAAATTTGTAGTTTAGGTCAAATTTTTGTCGTAAGATACAAGAATATATACAATTCAAGTAAAAAAACTTAAAATTTATAATGAAACTTAATTTTTGTCCGATATCTGACATATCTTTATTGGGTATTGATGTACGAGGTAAAAGTAGAAAATCGGTCTAAGAAATATATATCTAATTAGTTTTTGGAAATTTTATAGAAAACATTACTCTGAAAGAATACCCAAAATTTCAAGTCGATACGATAATTTCAATTTTACTTTCACTAAACATCAAAAAAGACATGAAAAGTTGCATATAAAAAAATCACCGTATAAATGTTATGATTTTTTGGAAGATTCTCAAAAGCGCCTTTTTCTTCAATGATTGTTGGTATACATTAGGGTTTCGTTCCCGGGAAGCGTCGGGAAAAAATTCCCGCGAAATGTAGTGATTTTCAGCTTCCCGATTCCCGGTATTTTCAGTCGGGAATCCCGGGAATTAAAAACTAGTAAAAATCAACCATGCTTATTGTAACACATTTTATACAACAAAAATGGACAGGTATTCCTTAAAAAAGTTGCGCGCGGAACACTTCAATACATACTCATATGTATGTATTTATAAAGAAAATAAAAAAGTATTTTATTTACTTTATTTAAATAAAGATTGGCTATCGTTTCCTCAGCTCTACTATCGTTATCTCTAAAATATCGTTACCGAACTACCGTTATTTTATATTATTTTTAAATAATTTTTCCTATATTACACCTTTAAAATACCCTCTTATCTCATTACCATTACCGCTAAAACCAGAGATTTAAATTACTAATATATTAATAACCAAAATGCACCTTTTCTCATATTCATACGTATGCAATATTAAAATGTAAACATATTTTATCCAAATAATATATTTAAATGCTTCCATTTAAAATATTTGTGTGGGTAAATATTTTTTGCAAAAATACTACAAATATTTTGAATAGTGCCATATTTTAAATATGCATATTTTTAAATATGAGGAAAATACATATTTATTGCAAATTGAAAAATAAAAGCAATTAGTTATATTTAAACTCTGGCTAAAACAACGTTACCGAAATAATCCAAATACAGTTACCCTTATCTTTTCACTGCTTCAAAACTATTGCCAACCCTGATTTTATATATACATATTTCTAAGTTACATGATATGTTAAAAAAATTCAATAAAACATCGCGTAAACGCTTTTTTAATTAATTTTTTTATTTTATCGGGAATTCCCGGGAATGTGAATATCTTTTTCCCTATTCCCGAGAATCAAAAAACGTCGGGAATTTGTATAAATACATATATTACTAAGGCGCAATTTACATGACGACTTTTTAGACGTCTGTTTTTTCCAATTCTCCCTTTCTTCTTTTCCCCCTTTGCCCACTAACTCGACGCGCTTGCGTGCTCACCCTTATGAAAAAGTTTCATGTAAACCGGCACCTAAACAAATTCTGATCAAAATTTTGACGTGTGGCCATACAGCTTTAGAGAAAATTTTAAGCCGCCGTCATAGTGTCAGTCACCGTCGTCGTTGATGTTTGTCGGCACAGGTCTCTGATAATGAATGAATGCATATTATACTTTGTAAAAGAGAAAACAAGGAAAAAACAAAAATAATTCATCACCTGAAAACGAATTTGATATAACATTTGTATCATTAAATTGATTCAATTGCATAGAAATGGGTAAAATTTAAATAATAATATAAAACAAAATGTACATTAGTAGTTTAATAGCTTGGAATGAAATAATACCACTTTGTGGGCGTTGCTCTGAAAGTTATCTATTAACATATGTGTTCTTAAATTTCGTTAGGTTCTACAGATGCAGCTACAATGCAGAAACTGGAGAAGCACTTAATGCTATTAAAAGAGGAATATACAAAATTACAAAGAGGTTATGCAGACTTAGAACGTAAATACAGCAAGGCAATAGCCTCCAGCGATAACGATGCTGGCGGTGAATTTAGTAGCTTTGTCTCACGATTAGTATTAACCGTGGCATCACTGTATGGGCGTACGGTGTACTCAGATCTAACAATTAAAATGAATTCAAAAACAATGCCTGCTCATAAATTTGTTCTACATGCTCGTTCCGAGGAATGGCGTGAGGAAATTTTGGCAGATGTCAACGAATTAGATTGGAGCGATATGGAAGAAGACATTTCGATGGCTCTCTTACGTTGGATATATATGGATGTAGTAGACTTGCAGCATGATCGGCTTGCACTAGGCTTATTACGAGCATCACATCGTTTTCATTTACCAGGACTACTAGGACTTTGCGAACGGGCATTAGTCGCTTCGGTTGGAGTACGTTCATGTGTTCGCTTTTACTGTGTTGCAGAGGAAGTTGGTGCTGCTAGCTTACTTGATTACTGCTCCGGCTTGATATCGACACATTGGGATGATTTGACACCTCAAGACTTCGAACACATGTCGGGTCCACTTTTATTTAAAATGTTAAAAAGTAAAACTAAACATCCATTACATGCTGCGGTGCGGTTATTGCGAGAAGACGTAGTATTTTTGTGTCTTGTAGAAAATGATGGAATGGTAAGTTAAAGCAACTTAAATACTTTCTTACAGAGATACAGATAGATAGATAGATAGATAGATAGATAGATAGATAGATAGATAGATAGATAGATAGATAGATAGATAGATAGATAGATAGATAGATAGATAGATAGATAGATAGATAGATAGATAGATAGATAGATAGATAGATAGATAGATAGATAGATAGATAGATAGATAGATAGATAGATAGATAGATAGATAGATAGATAGATAGATAGATAGATAGTCCAATGGACAGGTATTTAAGTAGGGTTAAATGACTGAAAGAATATAATTTGTTATATCAAGGAAAGATTAAGAAGACTTAACAATTTTTGTTCTTCCAAATTGTAAATTTTTCTTATTTAAATTTCATTGCTTTTACTTTTTTAAATATATCGTCATATGAAATCCAAAAGCCCTAAGTTCCAAAAAAATCAAAATCGACTTTTTGATTGATTATGATACACCGTATCAAAATACATGTTCCTGCTGAATTTTATACTCCTACAATTAAAATCAACGTCCCTATCAAAGAAATTCTAAAAGGTTATGTTCTAAAATTACCTAAAAATTCATGAATATTTTAAAATTCTGTTGAATTTTTAACTTCGAAACTGTGAAATGTTACAAGTTGT